TTAGTAATGTGTGTGTGTGGGGGGTCCTCTGAAAAGCACTGTGGGGTGATAGTGGCAATACACACATGACAATTTCAAGGTGAAACCCAGAGTGGAAGAGTTGAGGCGCCGGGTCCGACCGTTCACCCAGCCCCTGTCCAACGCCCAACTTTCAGGATTAGCTGGTGAATAACTGATGTGATCACAACACTTTGAAAAAAACAGGGTAAGTGTTAGAACTATTGATGATGCTGAGTTATAAAAATATATTTAGGCAAGTAGTCAGTAAAGCCTGCTATTGATATGTTAACGAGAATCAGTCCCTATCAGCATCCAGTTGTCAATATAGTGAAAAACCAACAATCAAAGAAAACCACCTGACCATGCATGCACCGAGAAGTCTCTGATGTCGCCTCGTTTACATGTTTTCCTACTTTCAGCCTTCACTTATTCAGATTCATCACTGGCAATAAGCCAGTTCTAAAGGTGAACTTACCTGAATGCAGACCATGCTCTATATGGGACATTTACTTTTAGTTATGTCAGAGGTAGAGAAAATTTAGGACTTTTTCAGAGTTAGGGTGTAATAATACACCCTAATTAAAGAGTGAAAATGTAACCTGGTAAAGAGCAGTAGGAAGAGGAGAATCAGAAGTAGGAGGCAAGGGGCTGCCCCTGGATTCTGTGATCCTGGACATGTTCCTTAACTGTGGTGTGTGAAAAAAGGGTCTTTGTTTTTATGTTTTCATCTCTCCCTCTGTCTCCCATTTCCAGTTTTACACAGAAGGGCTCTGAAAAGAGCTTTTCCAGTGGAGAAGAGTGGGAGGGTATGGAACCATTTCTACACTGGCTCTTGTTCACTTTTCCCTTGGGTTATTCAGTTGGGCTTCTGTGGTTGCTTTTTTCCCTAAAACTTAGGCCCAAGCAACAAACTTCTGAGGTCCTCTGGATAGGGTACATTTTCAATAGCAAGGATAAAGGGAAAGACAATCACTGGAGAAAATACAAAGAACATCAAGTGTTTGCAGGCAGCCCGTTGGTAACTGGGCTGGAAGCACTGCCCCTGGCCTGCCTGGTTCCTCACCTCTGCTTCCACCAAGCAGGACAGATCCTATTCTTTATCACTTGCAACTTTTCCCTTCTCATGAACACTTCCAGATTCGAGGTTCCCAGGCCCCTGTGGTTCCTCCTGTTTGTAGTCTGAGCTCTGACCTTCCAAAGGAAATGGGCAAGGCTGAGGACACAGACATAATGTTGATTTCACTTTTTAGGGGCAAAATCTCCACCCCCTCAGTAAGAAGGAGCCTGTTTACTGAGGTCCATCCTCAACACCAGCCACTTAACATCTGCATCAATTTATACACATCAAGTTAAGAGAGGATCATTCTTTGACACCGATATGAACTGACAAAGAAGTTATCACTACATACAAAAATCTATTTTGGCCAAAAAAACTACATTTTTTTTCTTTCTCTGGATTGGAGGGAGCTGGAGCAGTGATCGTTTCTGTATGTCTCTGTGCTCTAAGTTTGCAGAATGGCAGGTCTGTGGCTTCCAGAAGAGGATGACAAACACACGCCGAAGGTGGTCTTGGGAGTCTTGTTTACAGGGGGAGGGTGTGTTCAAGAAAGAACTGACCTCAAATCTCCCAGCAGAGAATCCTGTCATATCTACACCAGGCAGGCATGCGAAGGGGTGACCAGACGGTATCATTCCCCTACCAGGGCCATCCCTCTTCAGGAAAAAAAACACACAACGCAGAGAACAGTCTAAGCTCCATCTCAGCTCAGGATCTTTTCTATATTCTAGGCCTTCTTTATTTTGAAATTAAAAAGTGACAAGTCTGTCTTTGGCTACAGGACACTCTATATTCACGTTTGAAAGAAAAAACTACCTTCACTTTATGGGACTGCAGGATCTGCAACAACTACAGTCTAACAGTCTGTCGCAAGTGTATTGGATGTTTCAGTTTGCCAGACCTGTCATGAGAAATTAATGACAGGATGTTGCAGAAATGGCAAAGCTCCAGCAGCATCTTGCATGGTTTAATATAGCCCCATTTCCCCATTTCAATGTATTTGTGGTTAGATAAATCCTCAGAAATTTACAGCTGCTACAGACGAGTTTATTATGTACTCTGCCTGCACACATGATAAGTATAATAAGAATTTGATGTTCTTAAAGTGCATAGATTTCACTGACATTTCTTTACCACTATGGAACTATTGAGTTGCTAAAAGTAGCATCTACAGATACTTCTGAACATTAACTTCTGTATAACAGGCAGGGATGGTTAAAAACATCACCGTGCTTTGCCGTCTTGCATTTACTTTAAAACTGAAGAACAGTAGCTCAGAAAAAAAAGTTGTATGGAGTGTTTATATAAAACGGTCCTGTGAACAAATTAAACAGAAAAAAAAAAACTTAACTACTGATTCTCAGTTGAAAACACTGAAAAACTGAACTGAAGCGACCACGTTTTTTCTCCAGGGAACCTTCTTCCTTTGGTCTCATGATTGCTTTTTCACAAGCTTCAGTTATTCATTTTTGCTCTGGCAAATTTCCCTCATGTTCTTGCTTTTTCCTCCTTTTGGACTCCTCCCCCCCTTAACTTCAGTAAGTAAATCATCTCATTCCAAGCAATTTTAAATGACTGGGAATATGTTTACTTAGTTGCCTTTGTATAAATAAACTATTCCTACATTTTCCTCTACCAAATTCTTTCTTAATTCTTCCTAAGTATCTAAGTGATGATTTAAGACAAAATGAACTAGAGTGAATAACAATCAGATAGTTCAGTGCTTTTGGAAATGACATCGAAGTCTATACATTAGGACCATCTTGACACAAGTAACAGAGGGGACCATGTGCTATGCAGTTACATATGTACTTATGACTCCCCCTCCCCTTTAGATTAAGAGTAGACAGTAAAACTGTAGCTTCTTAGCAGCTCTATCTTCCCTTTTGAGACAATCAAAATATCTCATCCATAATCAGGATGAATTTGAAGTGTTAGAAGAGCAACTTCAGAAAATGGGCTCACAACATATGCCTGATGTAGATCTGAAGGGGAGCATCAGAAAAAAGCATTCTTTGTGTTTACAAAACAAATGTTTTTATGTTATCCAGTTCCCGCCTTAACTTAAAGTATTTCCTATTCACTTTAATAATTAGAGCAGAAGGATATGATGAATGAAGTGCCTCATTACCAAGTTTGCTTTCCGGGTCTCTGCAGAGAGTAGCTGTCTGCTTTTGCCTAGCTGGTCCATTGTTAACCCTAAATGATGCTGACATCCAATCTCCTGCAGATAATTGGGTCCATCTATAGACTGAGTTTGCCAGTCAGCAGAGGCTTTTGATTGACGTGACTCTTGATGTTTTTATTTTCTCTATGTGACTGGGATGGCGCCTTTTCTATTTTTTGAATAATATGTTACTGTATGTGTATTAGTTTGATCCCACAGAATTGATTTCTTAAAAAACTGTACGAATTATAGTATGGATTAAAGATTTCGCAAAACAGTTATGGGGCAAAGCTATTATCAGTTAAAAGAATTTTTACTCAGACCTGGTATTTCATTTTATGTAGGTCACTGCAGCACAGAGGACATGAGATGTCCCCAGGGCCTGAGGGTGGTCATGGGTGCATCAGTTCGCTTCCTCGCTCCTGCGTGGGCTGGAGGCTGACTCCAGGTGTTACTGGTTCCCTCTGCCCCGCACCTGAGTTGGGGCCCTTCAAGACCTCCCAGCGGAGCCTGACAAACCTCCATGGACAGCGAGCAACATGATTACTGACCATGCGCACTTGGATGAGTCATTTAACCTTCAAAGCCCTGGTTTCCTTATTTGCGGCAGGGAACATTTTATGTATCTCATGGGTTTGAAACGAAGAGAAAATGGTTCATGTACATAAAGTGAAGAAGACTTGTGGACTCTCTTCTGTAGCTAAGTTCAATGAGGTAGAAATCAACTAACACAGAGCTTTAAAAAGGTGGATAGGTGATAAATGTTCCCATAATCTACTTAACAGATAAGGACCTCAGATGGAAATCATTTAAATGTGTATAGAAGTATAAGGTCATGAGTGGGCTATAAAGTGGTAAATTATTTCCCAGATAGACTCTTGCTGAATTACCTAAAGAGAAAATGTCCTTCTTTAATAAAACTTTACTGTAAATGAAAAATGAAATTAAGTTTAAGTGTGGGGGTTTTTTTTAATGAAAAAGAAACCTTACACAAGGCTTCAGAAGTACCAAGTGTTAGCCATTTGAAAATTCTGATTTCATATTTAAAATGTGCATTTTAAACAAATTTGCATTCATGGTATTAAATCTTTTTAAAACTTGATTTTTATTCTAGCTTAGTAAATTCTATTCATTGCATAGTTTTGATAATGAAGAAACTTTAAGATAGAGTAGAATCCATAATTGGGAAATAAATATGAAAGAATGATATTATTATATCTAGAAAAGATAGTGTCAAATTGTTAACTTGCTTGGAGATAAGAGACTTCATAAAAAGAGATAAAATTCAATAATTTCAGAATAAAGATAAAATACAGAAAATAATTTATTGCTAAGTAAATAGGTAGCATTATACATCTTCAAATGGATTCTTGTGTCTGATTTCTCGGCCTGATCAGAATTTGGACTTATTACTTGGAGGGCAGTTTTGATCCTCCCCACCCCAACCCATCTTGGAAAGTGTGATGAAGATATTTTATTAATCTATTCACAAACATAACGCAAGTCTTGTTTTGTCAACGGGACAAAAAAGAAAAGAAACGGGCTCTGAGTAGAAACCACTTTACTTGGTTATTTGTGTCAAATGTTATTTTTGTCTTTAGTAGTTGCAACATAAAAATAACCCTTTATTTTTTCATATGAACATTGAGATCTCAGCAAATGTTTAGCTCCCCTGACATTACTTTACTTGTCTTGATTTAAAAATCTTTCTGCAAGTTTTGAAATTCTTTGTAATTAAAATAAAAAATCAGAGAATCGACACACATGTCAAAACTGTGAGCTGAAACTGCAGAGAGCCACATATTTTAATTTTTTAATTATCAGGTACATTCACAAGACAGAAAAAACAAGCTTGTACAAGGATGACTCAAGCTGGCTGGGTGTAGCTGTACCTGAAGCACAGACGTACGCGTCCAGAACAGGGGAGGCTGGTGCTATCAGAACAGTCCTCTGTGCTGATCACTGAGGGCTTCTGCAGTCATCAGTGCCACTTTCCACTTTCAAAGGCAACCCCCCTCTCCCAAGCGCTACACAGAAGGGGTTGTTTACCACCAATTTTCATGCTTTTATAACATGTGCAGGGATAAGAGTCAAATATATTTTCACTAGAAGACTTTTCACATCGGGTATACATCTGGGCAAAATTTACACCTCAGTGCCCTGTTTTTCTCACTTCTTATTTTAATAGAATCAATTGTCTTACTTGGTAAATAAGTCTTCTAATTTTATATTAGTTTTGACCTTCTTGGGGTTAAATATTGACAAGCTTATAATCACATAGTGGAGAAAGGAGAAAAGTCAAGTAAAAAACAAAGAGATGAATTTTCCTATTTTATAACACCACACTTCAAAATATATAGTCACATAGTAATGACACTGTGATTCTGGAACTAAAGAAATAAATAATGCAATGTAAACATTTAAAAACAAGTACTAAGAGCAAATAAATATTAAACAGCATAAGTCTAACAAATCACTTATAATACTTCAACATAAAAATGCTTGTTCTAAAAAGTAAAAAAGTTTGGAACACTGTTGTCAGTCTAGCCAAAAGCCACTTTTAGTTTACGTGTATCAAGTTACAAACACATTTGTTACCTTTTAATGTATATCAAGTTATAAACAAACAAATTTGTTACTTTTAATGCTTTTCTTGCTGGGACCATTTTGAATACACGAAATCCTGAAGCTGCTTACTTTTAATTTTAAATAAAGTTAAATTTCAATAGCAGATATTTCATATTCTGAGCACAACATCACACATATAATCACATTATAGATACAATAATATTAAATGATCACTTGGAACGGACATCCTAACAATTCAAACACTTTTTCTTCATATTTGCTGAGTAGCAATTACAGTTTTTTCTTTATTGATTTTCCAACAATGGTAATGTGATTTTGATGCAATTACTAATAAATACAACTACCAATACTTCGATCAACAACAAACACAATGGTTTATAACTATTAAGCTCAAAAGGCAACATTTATTTTTCCACACATACCTTGCTGATTTTTCTAGATTCTTTCATAAGCATAAGAAGTAGTGGATCCTTTCTTTCTCCCTGGCCATCTGAAATTTCTAAATTCTGAAGAGAAATTCCATTTGGTTTAATTTGTCATTTCATTTCTGTGTTTTTGGTTCTTTCTCTCATCATTCTTCTTTAACTCTTTACTAGGAGAAAAATGATACAAAAATGTTCTAAATAAACCAAAACAATGTCTTTTGGCCACAACAAATGTTGGCATGCCCAGGCAACAGCACAGGTGAAAAACACACTGTGCAACAGACACACACAACCAAATAGGACCAAAATATTAACCTGCCTTCTTGAACATACTTCTAGTTTAGCTAGCTGAACTTCCAGAATTCACTTCTAGTTTGCCTCTTAAACATACTGTTAACACCTTTAGTAGGACCAGCAGTTGCTTACGGCTTGCTCCACCAATGACTGGTTAATACAAGCAAAAAAGAAATACATTTCTCAAATACAGACACTAAGCATTGCAAACCCTGGGTAGCTTCCAGAAGTTAAGTGTAGGCAATCAGAGTTTATGAAGTTCTTCATTCACTGGAAAAAAAAATTGTCATGGATGATGCTTCAGGGTTAGTAACTGGAAAGCAGCACGTTATTAAACAACACTCTTTCATTTACTCCACGGCTGTGTCTACTTCCCCAAGTGGGTTAACTATTACAGCTTTTCAAATAAATCCAAAAAATGGTGGGTGTCATTTCTGATTGACGAGGAGAGTGATGGCTAACCATGTATCTAGATGCAGCTTTGAAATAAAACAATTTAAACCATTAATAAAAGTCAACAACCAATCAGCAGAAGAAACAAGAAGCTGTTTCTTTAGAGACCACATGGTTAAATCCAACCAGAGGGTGATAGAGCAGGGGCTGAACCTGACGTTTTGGAAGGCAGCTATGCTCACCACTATACCACCAACGCCTCGAACCTGACGTTTTGTAATGTAGTTACTCACGTATCAGTGGTGAGTACCTGGACTTACACAACACTGCTGCTGTCTTTCCTCTAAATAGAAAGGACTTAACATCTGGTTGCTCTTAGAAAACAAACTTCAGCCTAAGGGTGATGGTAATCTCGTTAGGTGGGGGTGAGTTTCAGTGATCACTCATGAGAAAAGCAGAGGCTAGTGCGTTATGGCAAAGGGGGATGTGCTCATAACCATTTCCTGACCCTAAACAGGAGGGTTAGGGAGCACCTATGCTTTCAGGAATGGGCCCAATCTGAAACAAATGGTTGGACTACCTTTTCATGTGGAAAACAGTTACAAATTGAGGGGAAAAAACATCCTCTGTCAGTCCATGATTCTTAATTTTAAATTTGTTTAACCAGTGTTATACACAGAAGCTCCACAATGTTTCAAGTGAGCATGCTCACAACAGCACCTGAGGTAGAGTGTAAAATGGGAGAGACACAGTGTGCTGAAGCACAATCGCACTGGGGGCATAAAAGGGTGTCACTTCTGTCCTGGTGTATGTGCAAGTGAAGTACAGAAAACTTGCCTAAAATGAGAGTCTAATAAAGATGGGGAAGAGTCAAAAAGGCACCAGTGGATGAGGGGCACGAGCCACAAGGAGACTGTGGGAACCCCTGCAGGGGCAGTGGGGCAGGTGGAGACCTCAGAGGGATAACGGGGCGAAGCAGTGAGAGGAAGGGTGCAGGACAGCCGCAGGACAAAAACAAGGAAGAGAAACAGTAAGGTGAAGGAGGGGGAGGGGATGACAGCTGGAGACAGTGAGATGGACCCTGCCCGAGACAGTGGGGCAGGTTGAATTGATCAGAGGATGTGTTGTGAGAAGTAAGGAGAGGGAACTCGAAGAGAAACTTAACTAGAAAAAGCTAGAGTAGGCAGTAAAGATAACATATTCAAGGGAAATGAATCAAATTAAGGAGAGGAAGGATAGAGAATGACAAAGACTGCCCAGGAAAGGCAGAAAAGGGGCAGAATGAAAGGAAAAGGAGAACAGACGGTCAAGCATACACCTCGGACAAGGAGCAGCCCCCTTCTGACCACAGGGATAAGTGAGGATGGCACAACCCACGATGATGGACGCTGACGGCGCAGGGATGGAGCAGCTAAGAGACGGCGGAGGTCTGCCGAAGAGGGCAGGCTAGGTGTCCTCTAACCAGGACGCCAGAAGGAATGCGAATCCTGGCTTTCTCTGCAGCATCTCCTCATAAAGCATCCCCGTAACAGGACAGAGGGAGAGAGGAACAGAGGGAGGGCCTTTAGAGCAAATCATATGAAAAGAGAAAGGGAAATCTCATAGCAAGATTTTGAAAATGAATATGAAACCAAGCTAGTGTTGGTGGGTACGTTATGTGCGAAAATTAAGATTCATAGAAGTACTGGGCCCTGCCCCACAGGAAATTCAATCCCGTAAGTATTCCCTGAAGGTCTGCTATGGGGCCAGATACCAGGCTAAGTCCTGTGGGAAAAAAATGTGACAATGTTACAGCCTCTCCACAAGCACTTCTCATTTAATCAGAATAAGGAGGCAGAGCACTGTGTAACAGAAATAACCCTGACCTTGGGGCCAGGAGATCAAGTCCTAGTTCCGGTACTTCTTAACTCTGACTCTGAGATGCTTATTTCTTTAAATGTAGAAAGAATGGGCTATATTAGAAAATTTTTGAAATTACTTTTGTTTCAAAAGAAAAGATCAAGCAGTATATATACATCAATACATGTGGAGTAGAAAAATTAGAAAATACACGAAGTAAAATGAAGAAAAAAAACACAATTCCACCACTTGGAGATAACTACTGACATTTTTTGATGCATATTGTTCAATATTTTACATGTATGATATATATATAAACTATTTTATAGTCATCTTTTCCTTAAAAATTTATCACAGATCTTTCCATGTCTATGAAAATACTTCTATAATGTAATAAATAATAGTCACATGGTATATTCTAGTATATAAATGTTTCATAATTCAATCAACTCTTTATAGAAAATGAATTTTTTCCTTCTATTTTTAAAACACAGCTTGAAGGAGTAGCCTTTATCTGGAGACAACCTGACTCACTCATGTTCCCAGGACGCCACATCAAAACCACCCTCTTCCAGGTCACAGATGGCCTTTTGGGTGCAAATCCTAAAGGCATTTTTCAGTCTGTGTTTTACTTCTGTTCTCTTTGGCGTTTGTCGTTGTTGACCACACCTTTCCTAAATCTCTTCCCATTGACTCCGTGACGTGACCTTCTCCTGGCTTTCCTCTTACCTCTATGAGGGTGACTTTTCGGCCAGTCTGCTCGTTCTTCTTCACCTGCATGTCCGTGATGTGTCCTCGGTCCTCCCGGCTCTGCTCTCTGCCCACCTCAGAACTGCAGCAGGGAAGACGGGAGACAAGGAGCCATAAGAGAGCTGCTGCCACAGCTCGGATGAGGCTTTGACTTAGGGAAGTGGCAGTGGGAATAAAACGGGGAGATAAATGGGAGGATCTGAGGGAAACACATTCAACAGACAACACGAGTGATTACTATGTGGGTGAGAGAACAGGGAGTTGCTGAAAATAATGTGGAGACATAACCCTTGGCTGGCTGAACTCCTCTTTTACTGTATGAAGGGGCAAGAATAAAATTTTACTTGTCTCAGAAAAATATTAGCTGCCTGGGAAAAATCGGAAAGATTTTATCAAATTAAATAGGAAAATTTCTGTGTGTGTATAAAAGTACAGAAAATTCCTTAATGACAAAGAAAGGGGTGAGGAAGTTTATGCAAAAGAAAACAGTGGTATTCTGAACTGTGGGATAGGGAATACTGTTTTCCCAATGGTTGAACAGTAAAATACAAAACAAATATTTTGTGGATGAGTGTGTGGCAATGAAATTTATGTTAGAAAAAGTAAAATGCAAGAACAATGAAAAAAGGGAAATTCAAAGAACAGAAGGCAGTGTCTCCTTTCTAAGATGTCCAGGAATGGTGGCAGACATCAAAATAGAGAAAACAAAGACTGAAACAGGTATAAGGATTTCAAAATCAAGCAATAAGTAGGACTGAACAGTGACTGCTGTGGACTGAACTGTGTTCTTTCACAGGCTGAAGCCCTAACACCCAGAGCAAATATATCTGGAGACTGGGCCTTTAAGGAGGAAATTAAGGTCAAATGAGGCCATGAGGGTGAGGTCCTAAGCCACAGAACTGGTGTCCTTATAAGAAGAAGAAACACCAGAGAGCGCTTTCTCTCCGCACATGTACAGAGGAAAGGCCATGTGAGGACACAGCAAGAAGGTGGCCATCTGCAAGCCGGGATGAGGGGCCTCACCAGAAATCAACCCTGTTTGACCCTTGATCTTGAAGTTCCAGCCTCTAGACCCATGGAAAAAAAAAGTTTCTTTTGTTTAAGCCCCGCAGTCTATAGTACTGTTACGGCAGCCTGAGAAGACTGCCGTGGAGACGAACAAGCCAGGAAAATGATGACTGAGAAGGAAATGATCAGAAATCACAAAGAAGAACGAACGAATAACATATGTTTAGAAAGGAGGAGAATGATGAGAGAGAAAGGAAAGTATGAGCTCTGAAACAAAAAGCACGAATAACTCTCAATCTTTCTCCAGGGAATCTATGCTCTAGCATTAAAATAAAAATGCAAAAGTCTGTGGATGCCAGAGTAACAAGGAGAACTAGGGATGCAAGCCAGGGATGATACAAAAAGACCCTGGCAAACTGGGGAGTGGACAATTCATCTAAGGAAGGCAACCCACTAGCTCAGCTCCAGTGGAGGGATGTAGTGGAAGAAGGTGCAGCTGTCGTCCAGAACTTCAAAAGAAGTCAGAAATCTATATTTAAGCGAAATCCTTTTATATTTGGGCAATGGGTAAAATTATTCACAATGGATCTTGCTGGCAGGCCCAATTTAAAAAAAAATATTTTTTTGCTCTGTGGTCCTATACTGCCCTGTTCTAGACATACCTGCTGGCCTCAGGGTATTTCAGGCATGTCCATGCTTTTGTGCCTTAGCTCCTGCCATCCTTCTGACTTCTAAGTCCTTCTCTTTTTGTTCATTCTGTATCTACATAGTTTTTAAGACTTAAATGTTATCTTACATCTTTGGGTTTCCCTGACTACTGCAGAAAAATCAGACTGTGTGATCCTCTCCATTCTTTTTCTCTCATAACATACATACAATCTAACAGAAAACTACCCTGAAAAATACAACATCTGGATTTTTGCTTGCATCTAAGATGGAGTAACAGGAATTAGATTTACTGCTCACCTAAAACCGGCAAAAAATTAGACAAAATATGTGAAACAATTTTCAAGGTAATGAATCACAGGAAATAAAAGAAACTGATACCCAAGAAATGGCAAACAAATGAGATGAGCCCTACATCTGCCCGGCTTATTGTCCTGAGAGTTTCCAGGCCACAGCAGAGGGAGAAGAAACTGTGTGGAGCCTGGAGGACTCCCTGAGTGAGAGCTAGGAGTCTGAGGAGACACAAGGAGGCTACAGTTCACAGAGTGAGAGAAAGGAGAGAGCTTCGTAGTGGGAGAACTTGAAGACCTGCAAGGGGTTCGCTTCAAGTACTCAGCAGCGTAGAGACAAGCATACACATCTGAGGAAATTTCCTGAGGGCAGGGACAGTACCTATTCCCATCAGCCAGGATGGAAAATCTTACAACTCAGAGGGCATTGGGTAGAATACTCAAAAGGGATTTGTATCAGTAGTAAGGAAAAATTAGCCTTGGACTAAATGCCGTTCGAGTCCCACCTAACAAATCTTAAAAGCAAGACCTGAAAGGATCAAATTGTTTTGAAGTAGCTTAACTACATTCTAGAACAGAGCTTAAGAATATTCATAGGAATACAAAAATATCTAGCAACCAATAGATAAAATTTTCAATGTGTGGCATCCAGCAAAAATTTACTAGGGATGCAGTGAAATAGGAAAATACAACCCATGATGAGGACATAAAAAAACAAAAAAAAAACCCCCAAAAAAACCCCTGAAACTGACCCAGAACTGACCCAGATGTTAAAATGATCAAAGACAGTAAAAGATAACTATATTCCTCCACCTGCTCCAAAGGTTAACAGACATATGAGAGATACCTAGAAGCCCAAACTGAACTTTCAGAGATGAAAACTAAAATGTCTGAGGTGAAAAATATACTAGATGAGATTAAAGGCAGATTAGACACTGCAGAGAAAAGATGAGATAACCTGAAGGCAGCAACAGAAACTTGCGAGATGAAGTTCACAGAGGAAAAAAAAGAAATAAAAGATAAAATATCAGTGAGCTGTGGGACACCTTCAAACGGCCTAATATATGTGTAATTGGAATCTTCAAAGGAGAGAAGAAACATTGGGGTACAGAAAAAAAAGTAGAAGAAAAAAAAATGGTCTAAAATGTTTCAACATTTGGTAAAAGTTATAAACCAAGCCCAGCCAACCCCCAGCACAAGAAATATGAAGAAAATTACAACAAGGCACATCATAATAAAATTGCTCAAAACCAGTGATTAAGAGAAATCTTAAAGTAGCCAAAGTAGGGGAAACCATGTTATGCACTGTGGAATGCAGATAAGCATAATAGCCTATTTCTTGTTGGAAAAAACTGCAAGTGAGAAGACAGTGGAACAACATCTTTAATGTACCAGGAAGAAACAAATGCAAATCTTTCCATGCAAAATTGTATACCAAATGAAAACGGTTTTCAAAAACAAAGGTGAAATAGTCCTTTGCAGACATGCAAAAAGTGAAGGCATCCATTTTCAGCTAACTGGCAAGAAACTGCACTACAAGGAATGTCAAAGGAAATCCTTCAGGCAGAAGGAAAACTGTAGAAGATGGAAATACGGATCTACACAAAAAAATGAAAAACACTGAAAATGGCAATGAAATGTGCCATCATGTAAAATTTTTCTTATTATTCAACCTCGCCAAAAGATAACAGTGTAGGCAAAAATAACAATCTAGTGAGGGGTTTATAACATATGACTACAGAAGCATGAAGGTCAGGAGGGAAGAAACGCTATTTTAAATCTCTTGAGGATATACTGTGTGATAAGGTTTGTATTATAAACCCTAATGGAATCACTAAAATAGAAACAGAGTCATAGACAGTAAACTAAGAAACTAAACAAGATAAAATGTATAAAAGATATTCAATCTAAAACAAAGCACATAAAGATGAAAACAGGAAACAAAGAATTAATGAAACAGGAAACAAAAAGCTGTATGATGGCTAAAATTCAATTATATTATATAAATATATAAATAATATACAAAATATAGAAATATAAAAAACAATTATATTAAATGTAAATGTTTATCTAGTTACCTTAGTTAAAAGGCAATGATGGTCACAGTGAATAAAAAAACATTAACTCAAATATGCTGCCTTTAAAAAATACTTTTTTTAACCTACTTGTATTTTCACATATGAAAAATATGTACCATTCCAATACTACCAAAAGAATACTGGAATGACTTTACCAATATTAAACAAAAGAGATTTTAAAACAGAGGACATGACCCAAAATATAGGACAGCAGGCTTATTTAATAATAAGGGTGTCAACACTTCAAGAGGACGTAACAGTCCCAAATATATGGGTACCTAATAAAGAGTTTCAAAATACATGACAAAAAACTAACAGAACTACAAGAAGAAAAAAAGTAGCCTACAATATTAGTTGGAGATTTCAATACCCAACTCTCAATAATTGATAGAACAGGTAGACAGAAAACAGTTAAGGCAACATAAGCACTAAGTACACTATTAACTCATGTGGTCTAATTTATTTATAAAAGGACATTACAGTAGACAAGTGCATAATACACATTCTTTCCAAGGGCACTCAAAACTTTTACTGACAGAGATCATAGTAGGATCATAAACCAATTCTCAATAAATTTAAAAGGACTCAGATCATACAAAGTATGTTCTCTGATGTCAGTGAAATTTAAACTAGAAATAACAATCTCTAGAAAAATCCCTAAATACTGGAAATAAAATAATCCACTTCTAAGTAACCCACAGGCCAAAGGAGAAATCCAAAAGAAAATAAGAAAGTGTACTTAATGAAATGAGCATGAAACAACACATCAAAATTTGTGTAACACCATTAAAGCAGTACTTAGTGGGAAATTTATGGCACTAATGTTTATATTAAGAGAGAAGAAAAGAGTTAAATCAACGACTACAGTTTCTATTTTAAAAATCTAGAAAAAGAAGCAGAAATTAAACCCCCCAAAAGTGGAAATAAAGATCACAGTGGAAATCAATGAAACAGAGAACAGATAAACAATAAAGAGAAATCAATGAAACAAAGCTGGTTCTTTTCAGTAAAACTGATAAACCATTTGCCAGGGTGTCTGG